GGAAAAACACGTCACGTGACAGGCGCATCTTCCGGATTGTCTCTGTAGTCGGATCAGAAACTAAAAAGCCAGTAGCCGTCCACAGAAGACTCAGGAAGAACAGAAGATGGTTATCTTCATTCTTTGAAAAAAAAAAGTGTAGGTAGCGTGTATATTAGAACTACTAAAAATACAACTTTTGCAATCAGAAGGGAAACCAACATAACATAAATGTAAATAAAATGTTGTCGCCATTACGATCGAAACGCCGAACATCCCGTCCCTATTCGTAGGATATTAATATTCAGACGTTGGTTGCGTGGGAATCTCATCGCCGTAAAAGCGTGGCATTCGCGATGGACGGTAATCCGCAAATGTGGTTCGGAGTGGATTACCTCATGCATAGTTTATGGATCGGTTCGTTCCTCATTGTGTCAAATGTCCGACGAGTCCAGATTCGTTAGGTATGCTTCTAATTTTCCAATACCTTACCCTTACCCAGAGAGAGGGACAAGTTGTCACATACGAATAAGAAGACAAAAATGAAAGCCCACCAAGTACTTATTCTTCATCCTCATGCGTAAGAAACTGAACCTCCAAAAGCCTTACTGAACTTGTCCTCCGGAATAGAAAAGCGATCACCATTCAATTCGCAAGATGTCTCATAACGTGGCCGAAGTATGAGAGTTTCTTAATCTTGATGTTAGCAATGATTTCTTTATTTGTCTTCATTCTGTTCATGACTTCTATGTTAATGACTTGATTTATCCAATTTATCCTCAACATGCCACACCCACATTTCAAAAGCTTTTTTAAGGTAGTCTCTGTGCGAGTCCATAAAACAAGATCGAAAGTATACGCGTTTGGCAACGAAACTCATATATCGGCAACGGTTGGTTCTAGGGGACCCTCATTGGTACACAAATGATCAAAGTCGAAAAAAAAAAAAATTGTTTTTCAATGTCTATTCTCTGTTCCTCCGCGTCTGTTCTCTGTTCGCAGTCGACGCTCCATAAAAACGCGAACAACTTCTGAACGGTTTGAGTGAGGGAGCTGAAGTTTTGCTCCTCTTAAACTGGCTACAAGACACATAAGACACATAGGAAATGTTTGGTCCCTAAGTTGGGGGGGGGGGGGTATATACGATCGAAAAAATTCTTGACCCAAACGACTCCCAAGGTCCGAATCAAAATCCTTTATTGTTGATGTTCTTTTGAAAACGTACAGGGTGCGTCGGTAATTTGCAAAAAACTGAAAATTGGGCATCCTTTATAACGATAATTCACTAAAACTAGAACTGTCGTCAGTTTCTGTCACACGTATGGGTAGCTAAAACTTTTGAATTTAAAGTTTTCACATATTGTACAGGGTGTTCGGGATATTCTGTGCTATATTCAAAAACGTCATAGGTGACTCAAATATGTTGCTATCGTTTTCAAATTTAGCAAGGAAAAAATTGCCCGTAGTCACATCTAAACAGTAGAAATTAATCACAATCAAATATCACCAAATAAAAAAAAAATTTCTTTGAATATTTTGGCTTACAAAACTATTCAATCGATTTTTTCGATTATATACAGGGTTTTTCAGTTATGGGCGAAAATCTAAAAGAAATTGTATTTTTCGGGAATAAATTATTAACCTTAAATCAAAATTCGTCAAAAATATGGCTAATCGGACCAAACGCTGTTATATGCCCCATCAAGAACTATAATTTTTGTATTTACAGTTTCCGTTTATGACATGCGCTGAAAAAATCCAAATGAAAATCACCATTTCTCGCCCTAAATCTAAACACGATGACGTTATTTACTATTATCACGTACTGCATGGTTTCAGAAACCGAGTATTTTCTTGAAAACCACTTACTCTATTGAAAAAAATCTCTCTATATCGAGCATTGTTTGAATTATTTATAGGGTGTGTCGTTTATGAGCAAAAAATGTAAAACATCCTAAAACTTTCCGTTTTGTGGAAAAATTATTTCGGAAAAATTAAAAACTGCTAAAGATGAACAGTATCATAAACTATGTCGAGCGAGAGTTCAGGTTTCGCCAATTATACAGGGCCCGCGAGATATTTGAAAAAATATCATTTGACAACGCTGCGAATATTTAACTAAGTTTGCCGTAACTTTCAAGTTCGGCGAGACTTGAAAGACACTTTATAGAGGGTGTGCGCACAATGAAATTACATCAATTTTCCGAAAGTTACATAATGGTTCGCATGAGCACGATAGAAAAACCATGCGTTCCTCTAACACAAGAAACCACCTTTTATTTTGGAAATGTAAAAGCAATCTTGTTTTAACAATTGTCCCAGATATTTAATCCTCTTGACTCTTTCAAGTTTACTTTGGAAGATCCACAGTTCTGCATGTACATTCGTTTTTTTTTAGTTATAGCCATAAGTTTGGTCTTTTTGATATTAAGTTGTTTATTATTACCCCATTTCTTTTTATTCCTTCTTCGATAGTATCTAAAGCTTTTTGCAATATAGTTTCCCAGTATAAATTGAAAAGCAATGGAGACAGTGACATAATTCTGAGACCTATTGTGCACATTTCGTTCTCGCGAGTAGTACGTCAAAGGGTGTTCTGAGACGGGATATGCATTTTCGGTGGAAACCTGTTACCCGCAAATTGTCTCGAATAAAAAGAAACTGATTATCCCACCTCACTGAACACGGAATAATGATTTCCGATTTGCTCAGCTCGGCGAGCAGGCCTGCAAAAATATCACCCCCTTCACGTTGCCGTGACAAGTAAACGCGGAGGATTTCTACGGTAACCCTCGCAGTTTTTACGAAACTTTCCACGTCCCGGGTCATCCCAAACACACACAAAGAGATCCGTTTGTTATTCCTGGCTCGACTGGCAAAGAATCCCGACGACGAATTGCGTTATCGCTTCGAGGGGTCCGCCAGGCACGGAAACTTTTTTGCTTTGGTTTTTTTTTTTTAAAAGCGATTCGGAACGCTAAAAATATCTCAAATAAGCAATTTCGATTATAAAATATATACTGAAGTATTCTAACTATTTTAGCGTTCTTAGGGATACCTAGGTCATATATTTTAAGACGAATATGTCGAGTTTAATAATAATAACAATAATGATAATGTCGTTATTTTCGAACATAAATTTTACAAATGAATAGCGAGAAGTAAGTAAACAAATGTTCAAAAAATGGCAGATGAGTTCAGATGAGAAACTCACAGGAGTAACTCCCTGATCCACTTAACCAGGTAGGAAATTAGTTAATCTATAAACTTAACTCAGGCCAAAAAGTTTAATATAATTTTGATATTTTCGTTTAAAGTTGGAGACAGAGAATGCCTGGAATGCACCTGGAAGTGCGTTAAAAAGTCGGGCATTGTTAAAGATAAAACTACGCTCAAACATTGCCATACTATGAAATGATGGAGTGATCTTTCTCCTAAATATTGAAATTATGCACATGTGTTCTGCATACAATGCGTCTGTATAAGTACGTAGGGCATTTGAAGTTTATAATTTTATAAAAAAAAAGCAAGCAGAATGTAATTTTCTCCTCCTCTCCATGCTAAGCCACCCTATTTCAAAGAGTTTGTGTGAAATTGGTTGGTGCTTCCTTACTCCATGAATAAGTCTAAGACTTGAATTTTGAATTAAGTGAATTTTCTTTTATCACAACCGTTTAAATTGTGTAAACAACATCACAGTAATTGAACACCTCGAAGGAGGACCAAAAAGAATTTTGTATGTCAAAAAGAAGCAATTTCGGGGTTTTCCCTCCTGGAGGGACGCATTGTTTCTTGATCCTGCTCCTGCTTTTGCAAAATCGATGTAATTTTATAGTGCATACACAAACTTTGGTAAATACAAAAGTTTGTACAAATAATGGCGATTTTCAATGATATTTTTCTCAATACCTCGAGCACCCTGATACCTGAAACCCTCTGTCGACACCGTTTAAACCAAATTATCCCACGTTTTATTGTTCTTCATTTACAGACAATAATTTACTCGCGACAACTAACATTTTCAGGGTTTTTTAGATTTTTTTCCCATAATGGACACACCCTATAGTTTAAAGACCCCGTATATAATCGAAAAAATGCTTGAAATAAATCCGGAAATGGACATCTGCACGCCCGCCAAATCTGAAGTTAAAAACTGCGAATTTAAGGCACCTATCATATTTTATAATATACACGAAATATACAGGATAGGTCAATAATCTTTATAGAGGGAACCCAATTAACATTAATACCGAACACACCCTGTACATTTTTGAAAATGGTAAAGGAAAAAGGTTTATAGCACCAGATCTTGTGTACCTACTGGTTCAAGAATTCTTTCGGTCGCGTATACCGTTGTTGAGATTTTTTTTCTCGAACCCCTGTAATTAAATCTTTAAAAATACTTCCCGACCAACTAGCAAGCACGAAAGTTATGCCTTATCTGCAAAGCAACGATGAACGGATAACGACAGACAAAAAGTTTTTTTTTTCGACGCTGATCTTATCTGTAGCAATGGGTGTTCCCTAGGACCAACCAAGATATGAGTTTCGATGCCAAACCCGTATACTTTCGATTTCGATTCGATTTCATCGATTTTTGCAATAGTAACTAGATCGAATTATTAAAAGCTTTCCGCTCTGATGAGATATCAATTACAATTTTTTTCTCACAACTTGTGGGGTTACGATGGTCACAACGTAGTAATTTCTGTTCAATTTACCTCGAACGCTTCTGATCCACTTATTCCGTGTTATTGTTTCTCTTCGAGGCTGGAAAGTCGACGCAATCCGTCAGGACAAAAACGTGTTCCCCCGTCACTCGTGAAACTTTTCCGGTTGCCAAGCTAGTACGATTTCATCGATTCTTTCGAAAGCAACGAAGTATCCACTTGATTGGTTTATTGACTGACGTAACGGCTCCGTGGTGGATTTGAAGGAGATATAATTAGCACCTTTAGACAAAGCCTCTAATGTCTCCGAACTATTGACCAGATTCGAATTAAGTCCCTTTGTTGTTTCAGATGGTGACGGCGGAAGCTGGGACTCCGAACCCGGCTTCGGAAGCGCCGGATGGGGGCACCACCTTCGGCAAGCTTAGACAGACCTTGTCTTCGTCGCTACTCACCGCTCAAGATAAAGGTAACTCGATAATTGTTCCGGAGCCCTCGTAAAAATGATAATAATAATAATAATAAACCGTCTTTATTGAAGATCAAAATATTACGATATAAATAACCACAAGAACAACAGCACCAACACCATAATCGTCAACAAAATACATACCCGTATATACTTCGTAGATAGAAGAAATAGACGCACATCATAAACTCATACGCTTTTGCTAGATACTGGCAGCCTAATAAACAACATTAACGCTTTTTTGAAGGACTTTATTGTCGGCAGGAACGTTAAAGCATAAATATTTTAAATGCGTTCTAGCGAAAAGTTCTCTGCAAAATTACCGAAGTGTGTCTAGAAACGCAATATCTTAAACAATGGCGGGTGTCTCGATTAAGAATACCATTTCTTCTGCCAAGTTTATCAAACAAGTACGACGGGGTCCTATTGGAGTTTAGTAAAAAAACAAAAGTGGCTAACTAAACTTTATATCGGTACTCCAGCTTGAGCCAAGCCGAATCAGAAAGGCACTGTGAAATATGGTCATACTTTCTGAGATTGCAAGTGTATATAACTAACCAAAACTAACACATCACAGTGTTTAAGTTTGACTTCTTTGATGAAAAAAGATGCAATAAGCAGTAGCTTTTATCCCGAAAAATTTCAGTTTAGCTAGGAGAAGGAAATGAGCCAAGGTGTCGAACGCTATTTTATAGTCTAAGAGTATGAGACAATCATCAATAACATGAAGCAAGGCAGAAGGAGTGCTGTGAAGAGATCGAAAATCAGATTGATTGTGTGGGAGGATTTTGTTATCGCATAGGAACTGACCAAGTTGTTTAGTTGCAATTCTTTCAATAATCATAATGATAAATAATAAATAAATCATTCGGGTCAAATTAGAAGTTCCTCAAAAGACGAAACTGGTCGCTGGTTACTGCGCTCGCCTTCATTCTTCCCGGCTCATAAATTATTCGCCCAGATCCCGAGGGAATTGCGGGCCCAGCGCGAACGCCGCAATTGAACAATAATAACCTATTAATTCCAGGGTTATGGTCGACTTTATTACGGCCACGGATATAGTTTACGACGCGTGTCATAATTTTTGTGGGACGCTTCCGACGGAAGATATTTCATCACGGTAGATTCGATCAACAAGTCGTAATGCTTCGAGACATGCCGTTAGCAACAGCGTTCCGTATTAGTCCTATACTCTCGAACTATGGAGAGTTTCGATAGATACAGATAAATACAGCCCAGGGACGCTGTAGCGTTGCTACTTTGGGAGAAAGGCTCTGATGCTGAAATAGTTTTGAAGAAAAACGCCATAATTATCACATAACTGTTTGCTCATCTGGTTAGTTATTCCTGCTTATGTTCTGTCGGCTCCGAAAAAACTGTTATATTAATATCGTATTTAATATACAGGGTAACTTATAAGTAACTTATTGCACATTAATTGACAATACTTTCGTTTACAAGTTTTACGTCGCGGAAATCCCCTGATCAAGTGGTTTACAGCTGTATTTTAAGTACTTTGAGTCATCTATTCGAGAGTTAGTGTTGTAGCTATCAGTATCGTTTAGAGGAGTAAATTTACTGTATTGGTATATATTTGTTTTTAATTAATAATTTGCAAATAATCTTTCTAGGCGAACTCTATATCAAAGGTTTAACTTTTTTTAATTTATTTTTTGCATTAGTCAAGAATCAAATCGCTATTTCAAAAAAAAATTTAGACCAAAATATGCCTTTTTCGTAGTGAGGTCGTTCCTGCATGATATGGGGTGCAATTTCTATGTACGCACGAAAAGACCCTTTTTTCATCCGTAAGGGTGGCCGTGGTCAAGGAACAGGAGGTTTAAAATATATTTATTAATTATTAATTAATAAATTGATTTTATAATTAAATTAATAATTAAAATCAATTATTAATTATTATATTTAATATAATATTTTACCAGATCACGTGGTACCTTATATAGTCTAGATTGGAGAGGAATTCATTTTTATGCATGATAATGCTAAGCCGCACACCGCGTGTATCATGTAGGATTACATTACAGCAGTCGGTTTTCGAGTTATGGAGTGGCCAGTATGCAGTCCCGACATTAATCCAATCGAATGTTTGTGGGATGAGCTAAAACGGAGAATTCGAGTGAGGCAGAAGTAGAGTGGCTTAACATTCCGCAAGAAAAAATAGCGAACTTGATTAAATTTATGCCTAATCGAGTAAAAGATGTCAGGGCAAGAGGGATCCATTAATAAAAAATTAGTGTTGAGTTGCTAATTGTCAATAACCATATTTGTTTTTAGTAATATAAAAAAGTTAATTTATTATTATAGTATTAAAGCATATTAAATTGTCTTTCAAACAACTTTTTTTTTTCTAATCAGTAGTTTCTAAACAAAAATGAATGAATGAATGAAAATGAAGTCAAAACTTCACAATGGTTCGATTTGTTTGCACACAAGCTTTGTATTTTCTAGATTCCTATTGCGTTCCGTTCCTCTTTATAGAAAAGACCCCTTGATTCAGGGCTGTGGGTGTCCCTCTGCCGCCATATTGTCCAAAAAAATAGTCCAAAGACGCCGATCTCATTGCCAGACGCCGGCTGAATTCGCAGAATAAATTTCATACCGTCAGTCCCTCATTTAAAATTCATTCCGTTTTAATGCCGCCGACAACAAACGGATATCCGGTGCATCCAATTTACTTAACAAAGCCTTTTGAATTTCGTCGGGATCGGTTTATTGATACCCCACGTTTTGCTTAACGGACGGAAGGTTTTTTTTTTCGGATTCCTCCTGAGTCGGTTTTTGTTAAGTCGAACTTGCTAACGAATCGTTAATACAAAATTGCGTCCCCTAAAACATCGCGAATGGAAATGAAACCTTTCCAAACCGGACGTAGTGTTTTTGAGGAGAATGAAAACCGACTATTACTAGGTTTCATTTTTTTTTCATCCGAACAAAAGAACAACAAAAAATTAACTACCGTTTTGACAGCTTAGTGAATAGATGTAGTTCTTGTTACACAAAATCGGAAACTTCAGTAAAATCAAAGGACGTATGTAGTAGACAGATTTATTTTATTTCTTTATTTTACCTTTTTGAAAAATCCATCAATCAGCATCGCCATTTTTCAATTTACCGATGTTCTCCCTGAAATTTTTGAGAAAAAAAAAGGTACCTAGCCTAGAGATTTGAGTAAGACGTTTGATTAATAGTATACGAGGCAAAACATTAAATTGGATAAAATTATACTTTTGAAATCTTCTTGATGTGCCATATCCGCATGTTAGCAATCATGTTGGCTATCAATACTTTATTTACCGCTGTCCTATAGAGCGTATTAGTTGATTGTCCGAACCACTGTCGTAGGTTTGTTCAGCCAAGGTGTGCTTGTTTTTCCTGTGCCTCATCTTCCCTCGATCTTTATTATTTATTTTTTTTATTTGAACAACCTGCAGACATTTTTTTGAATACGAATCTCGAAGAACTCTAATAAATAAAACCGAAAACCAAAGAAAATTAATACTTAGCATCAGTAAAACGAAATGAGTAATGATTATATAGAGTTCAATAATAATAACCGTGAGTTTATAGAGAATATTCTATATCGCATATTCGGGGATTTTGCTTCTGACATTATACAGAGCTTTTGTTCACAATTCAGTGAAGAAATTACAGTACTCCTGCAGAAGTAGCTTTAAGAAATTCCAAGTAATTACTCTGTATGTATAAAATTTATATTCAAAACAAATTGAGAAAGGACCCACTGCCTAGAACTATATTCATTCGATGAATACATTGATTTTCCGGCCGATTTAACCCTTTGCACTCGTATATGTATCCTTTTGCGAGTACACTGTGCTCGGACTATTATTTTATCTACTGGGACTTTTTTATATTGTTTTTTTTTTTATTTAAAAAATCGCTTTATAAATACATATTTTTTTAAATATTTTATTAATATTTTCATACTTGCAACCATTATTATTAATTAAATTCATGCACAATATAAAAAAAGCGAAGCAGTCACCAATGTGTAATCCAGGCTTTCGGGTGCAAGAGTCACAAATTTATCTAGTTTCCCGCCTGCTGCCTTTATATAAAAAATATGCATTGACACTAGACGTTTCAAGTCCCCAGAAAAACAACTTTCACCACCATTTTAAAGACTTCTTCGGGACACAGTATGACGTGTCTGTGCGGTCAACATATAAATTTATTGTAATTGATAGCTGCATTTGGCTTATTTACAACTTGTAAGTTACCTCCACGCTTCTGTTGATAGGCTGTGTTCCTGAAATATCCCACGAAGTAAGTGTGGTGACGACCCTTTTATTTATTTTTTTATTTATTTTCTGCAATTCTGAAATTGGCAAGCTCGTATTGTATCTATCGGTGTAAAAATGATATAATCTTCATCATGGGTTATTGTTTAATAATTTTTGACACAGATGTAATACGATCCTTGTGCTTATAGGTACATCAGGTCTCACTAAATCTTTCTATGTCAACCGTCCTCAGTACGACAAAATTGAATAAACATATCCGGTGTTAGCATCTGCCATTACCTACATAAATTCGTATCCCCCATTTCGTAGGCTTGTTAGGATTGTAAGTAAGTGTTTACCCTTAAATCCAACAACAGATTCGTCCACCAATGTCTCCGTTGATGAAACAAGATGTTCTTTGAATTGCTTGTCCAAATAATCTAAATAGTGACTGAATTTCTGAGTTCGAGCCCTAACATGCAAGTGTCACCCAAAAAAGGTATTTTGGAATTAGAATGTTGTGACCAAAATTCTTGGAAATTAGATAAGATTATCGCACCCGTATTTAGGACTACCTAAATAAGGGACAACCTCTTCCATGCTAATTTATGTTTTGCCTAGTTATTTGTTTGTTCGACTATTTTTAATATTAGCTGATCGGTTAAAAAGAGCTTGAAAAATTTTTCACTTTTTTTTCGAAATATGCATCGAAAAAATACACCGAACTTTACCCAATCG